TGAACCTTCCCTTAGGGCTTGTCTAGTTGAGGAAAAATTGCACCAGTATAGATAGCATCACAGGTGTAGCCTCCCAGTGCTAATCCTTATACAGATGAGTGCCAAATGGGGCTGGCACTGGTATGAATTACTGGGATGAGATGCACCAATGCAAACTGTGTATTATATTCTCGGGGGAGAAGGTTGCACCACTGCAAAAACCACAAAGATCAACAAGGCTTAAATACCACACAGCTTCCCCGAGGCTTTGCAGCTGAAGTATCCCCTCCAGCAGAGCATATCCACGTCACAGCAAAATATATCCCTTGCTCCTGATGTATTAGGAACCCAAATTCTTGGAAGGTGGCTTACAATTAAAGAATCTGTAGCCACTATCGGGAGAAAGCCAACTCTGGCTTCATTCTTGCTTTGAAGGGGTCCAGGTAGTTTGTCTAGAAGTGACATATATTGTTGTTCTTGTGAACAAGTGCAACAGTTGCTTTCTGTTGCGTAGCATAAAAATTTGCTGGGGAGGGCTGGTGGAGGTCTCACATCAGTGACACGTGCTTGTCATTAAAGGAACATGCAGAGAATTGCCGCTTCGGCTCGCAGTGCCGCTTCCTACACGATGTGGGGGAGTACATGGCTGTGAAGCCTGCCGATCTCGGGGACAGCTGCGTGCTTTTCCAGACCTTTGGGAAGTGTATTTATGGAGTCACTTGCCGCTTTGCCAAGACCCACCTCGGGGAGGATTACAGGAACCTGGTTAATGAGGACCTCGTGAAGCGATGGGAAGGGAAGTCACAGGTGAGGAACAACCTCAGCAAGGAGCTCCAGCAGCAGCTGCGCAAGAAGAAGGTTTGCTTTGAAAAAGCCAACAAGTACCTTTGTCATCTGGCCAAGGCTGGCAGCAAAGGGGGAAATAAGGCCACAAGTGGCTCAGCAGGGGAGAAGGGGGTGACAAACTGCACAGCATCCAGGAGCAGCCCCGAGAGTGTGGGCTTGAAACCCCATGGAGAGAAAGCACAAGATCTTCAGGTACCAACAGAGGGTGGAGATGCTCCCAAACCAGTGGCTCCACAAAGCCCTTGCCCCACGAGTGAATCGGATAATTCTGCTGTCAAAACAATAGGTTCTGTGACTGATGAGGATATCGTAAAACTACGGCCATGCGAGAAGAAAAAGGTAAGTGCTACAGCTGGTGCGGGGGTCCCAGCCATGGGGGCAGCTCTGGTGCAGGTGGACGTGGGTTCCTGCTGGGGGCTGCTGGACAGCAGTCAAAGTGGTTTAAAACACCTCAGCTTGGGGGTGTAGGAATCTTGGCTGAGTGAGTGCATTGAGAAGCCAGAGGTGCCTGTCCCAGGAAGATGGAGGAGTCAGGCAGGAAAAAGAGCCACCTAGTCAGCATGGCTGTGTCTCTAGGAGGGGCACTAAGTGGATAGAGCCACAAATATTATCGCTGGAGGACAGGAGGAACAGAGCAGTTGGGGGGGGTCTCCTGTGTGCCTGGGAAGGGGAGAAGTGTGCAAAGAGAAGTGATGGGGCAGGACTGATTTTTTTTTTTCTCCCAATGGAGGTGTGTAAAAACAGGCTGCCATATACCTGCTGTGCATGGCCTTGGGGTGGCGCACCCTGTGTATTTTCTGCATGGACAAGCACTAGGCTTTGTTCCTTTGGCCAATGGGTGGAGAAGTCTGTCCAAATCCATGTTTAAATGAGAGCTCAAAGGCATTTTTTTCATCTGTGGGGTCATCTTATAGTCAAGGTGGGTATCTCACACCCTTAGCAAGGGGATAGGGATGCTGCACACAACTGGATCCAATTGTTTGATGCTGTCCATCGTGATTAGACAGCTCTTGGATCTCAGGTTTGAGCCTTGCCTTCAGTGTGTGCATGATTCTCCATACACAGAATAACCCCTAGGTCTCCAGGCTGCGGGTAAGAGTGGGATGTTACCAATGCACATGCACCGTGCAGTCCTCTCCTGCCTATCCCTATCTCTCTTCCCTCCTATCCTGTTTTGCATCTCTCACAGGCTCAGGGAGTTGACTAGTTGGATTTTTAAGAGTTGTGATGTTTCTCAGTTGGTAATAAATGATTTACAGGTCCCCTCATGCTGGTGGGACAGTGGGAGGGGTCCTTATGGGTATTTGCTAGTGTAGAATTGTCCTTCTGCAAGTGCCATAAATTCTGCCTTTCTGAACGTGACTGCGGATGACTATTAGGAGAGAAAATGTGTGCAGAGACGCTGTGACACTAAAGACAATAACCCTTCCTCTGGAAAGCTCTAAAAATGCTCTTCCCCTTTCTTTCTTTTCCAGTTGGATATCCAAGGCAAACTCTACCTGGCTCCCTTAACCACGGTATGTAGGCTGGTTCTGACGTAACGGGTGTGTTTGGCACTGGTAAGGAATTGGGGCATGGGTGTCATACAGATGGTTCTGCCTGAAAACTGCACAGATCATTTTTCTCACTCTCTCCTCTTGGGCTGGCCCTCAGTGCGGTAACCTCCCTTTCCGGAGAATATGCAAGCGCTTTGGAGCAGATGTCACTTGTGGAGAAATGGCTGTGTGCACAAACTTGCTTCAAGGCCAGTCATCTGAATGGGCTCTCCTGAAGCGGCATTGCACGGAAGACCTCTTTGGAGTGCAGGTCAGGATGGTTGCTTCACTAATGAGCGAAACTGGGTACAAATCTCATGTTTAATTTGGAGAGACATTGCCCAAGCGCCCTTGTCTTTGAGCTGAGACTCGGGCATTTCTCCTAGGGAAGTCATCTGCCTCGGCTGATTTCTGTCCTGTCTTGCCTTTGCAGCTGGAGGGTGCATTTCCCGACACCATGACGAGATGTGCAGAGCTCCTAAATCAGAATATTGAGGTGGATTTTGTAGACATCAACGTTGGCTGCCCAATTGATCTGGTGTATAAGAAGGTAATGAGTTGAGCAGAATCCACCATCTCCCTGAATGGGTGTTTTTCTGCTTTACCTCCTAATACCTGATCTGTTTTCAGCATAGCATAAAGGCTGCTCCTTCCTATTGAATCTGAGGACCATCATGCCTATACCTAGAGTTTAACCCTCCCTATTCCAGGGTCTGTCTAGTAACAAAGGAGTGAAGGGGACCTGTTGGGTGATTGAGTCCAAGGCCTCTTATCACAGGCAACTAACTAATATGATCCCTTCCATAAATGGATCTCTGTCTTAAAAAAGCGACTTTGTTTTTTGCTTCCTCTATTCCTATAGGAAGATACAGTGATTTAAAATCAAATCTGCTTGTTTTAACAAGTAATTAGGTGGCTTTTTGGTTAACCTGGGATCAAAAAGTCAAGCTTGGTCTCCTTCTGAAACATGCTTCAATGATTTTGTAGCTGGATCCCATTTGAGAGGTCTTTTAAGTAATGCACCTACAAGGGGGCACTGAGATCACCCAGTCTGACCTCAGTCTAACAGAGCATAGACTGTCATCCCATTAACCTTGTAAAAAGCCTAACAACTAATTAGGCACAGTAGCCAGTCCTGTCTGTGGATGTCACTACTGTATGTCCCTGACTTTCACGGTTAGGGCAGATCTTCTGAAGGAGAAGGTGCAGTGTTTGGATCGTAATGACTCTTTAAGATGGAAGCACCTCCAGTTTTCTGTTTGTTGTAAGGAAAAAGCATCTGTGTGGCAGGTTCCACCAATGCTCTTTGATTAGGTGAAAATACAAAGATTTACGATAGTGCCTATCTTATCCTGCAGGGAGGTGGTTGTGCCTTAATGACCCGTTCCAACAAGTTTGAACAGATTGTCAGAGGGATGAACTCGGTGAGTAAATGTCATGTCTAGTGGAAAGAAGCAAGTTTCTGAACAAGGCTCTTCTGTCTGGTTTTGCTTCACTACACTGTTTCCACAGGTACTGGATGTTCCTCTGACTGTGAAGATAAGGACTGGTGTGCAAGAAAAAGTCAACCTGGCTCATAAAGTAATCCCCAACCTCCGGGAGTGGGGAGCTTCCATGGTTACGGTACAGGAACCTTGCTGTGGGTGATGCCAGGGGATTGAAATTGTATCTGTGGTTCTTTGCTTATCTGTGGCCCTTGAGATACATAAAACCCAGTAACAGTCCTTTTGGTAATGCTTGAACTAGGGGCATGAACCCAGCCCTTTGAGCAAAGCTTTGTTGTTGGGGGGAGAGAACAGAGCTGGGCACATCATAGTTACCAACATCCTGATATCTGTCCACGCCAATAATCCCTGTAGTTTCCATACAGCTGAAATACTGCACTTGTCTGTAAAGTATTCATCTTCCTTCAGTTGTGATAACCAGTTCTTTGCAGTTCACTGCAGCTTGGAAGTCTGGAGATTAATTATGCTCTCTGTTATTGCAGCATGTCATAGAAAATGAGGGTTGGAAGGGACCTCAGGAGGTCACATCTAGTCCAACCCCCTGCTCGAGCAGGACCGTCCCCAACTACATCCCACCCAAGGCTTTGTCTAGCTGGGTCTTTCACTCCTGCGTGCCCTGAATTTGTTGCCTTGTGTACAGTCTATTGCTTGTAGCTGCTTCTGTTTCATTTTAGATGCTTGGAGAGGTGCTAACACTGTCGTTTTTTCTTCTTTCAGCTTCACGGACGATCTAGAGAACAGCGTTACACAAAGGTTGCAGACTGGGAGTACATAGCAGAATGTGCTAAAATAGCCAGCCCAATGCCTCTATTTGGTGGGTTTCTTTGCTGATTTATTATACTTTTTTTTTCCTGTGAAATGTGATTTGTGGAGAGTTAAAATGTTAAGAGACCTGAACACACACGTTCAATGGGAAAGCCTAAAGTAACAAGACAAGCAATGACAAACCCATGAAGTGGTGTCCAAAGGTGGAGTACTGTCAGCTGATATGAGTAGGTTTTGAATATAATTCTGGTCTACAGAATGAGTCCCTCTTACCCAACAGGTTCATTCCCCCCACTTCTGTTGCCATTCTCAGGTCAGTGAATGGACAGAGATAAATATGCTGCCCAGCCCCCTGTGTTCATGCTAGGTCCATGCTATGGACTTTGACAAAAACACTGTTGGCTTCGGAGAGGCAGGAGAGCCCATACCTTTTTTTTTAATGCATTAGCAATGTAGTTATTGTCAAACTCCAGGGTAACATGAGGTTGAACAGGTGTTAACAGAATAGAGTTTGAAGGTTGATAGTGGCAGAATATGACCAATAACATGCTCATTTGGAGCACGCAAGTCAGAAAGAAGCTATCAGCCACATTGTGGTCAAACTTTTAGGGCTGGTGGTTAGAAAAACAACATCTCTTTACTTGGAAAGGCAAAACGAGCGACTATAAACAGGGAACCCTTGAGACTATTTTACGGGATCACTTGTCAGAGCATATGGCAGTTTTAAATTTTATCCTTCGCCTGGATTAACTCATTTTGACTTGTTTGTTACTCTGACCTGGTTTCTCTCTCCGTCTGACACAGGAAATGGCGATATTTTATCTTACGAAGATGCTAATCAAGCCATGCAGACTGGAGTTTCAGGGATTATGATTGCAAGGCAAGTGGCTATATTTCTGATTTATTCTCATGTCTCTAAGCTGCACTGAAGCAGAAATAAGTTGAAAAAAGCACTGATAATGTGGGTTTGCTCTTGGCAGGGCTGTTTTATTTTTAAACTTGTTTAGAGTCTGATATGTTTGAAAGGACCTAAAATGGTTTCCAACTGGAGTTGCTAGCCCTTGAGAAGCTTTTAAAAGAGGTGCAGTCATGATTGAGCAATAGCTTTGCTCTGTTCAGTGTCAGCAGTATCTGAAAATGATCTGAGAGTTGGGGATAAAACTTGGATCTTCCAGTTAAACCATGTGTTTCCTTTGTGATAAAAGGCTAGTCCCTACCTCCCCTTGTAGAAAGAGATTCTACCTGGGTAGAAGTACGTTTTCACTGCCTCTCTGCTGCATGCAGGAGCTCTGCTACAAAGCACTTATTTGCTCACTACCACTCAGTGTGTGTTAAGCTCCCATTGCCTTTGATCTCCAGTGTACAATGTGTGCAGGTCCATTTTTTTAAGAGATGCTGGGACCTGATAGCTGCCTCTTCTGCCTTGGTTCTAGGTAGATCCCTGAATGCAAAGAAAGGGCCAAGAAAAGCTGGCCGGAGGTAGAAGAAGGACAATAATCAGGACTAAATTATTCCCGGATGTGTAACTTCCAGTGAAATCAAGGGGAATTGTTCCTACAAGGATATAATCAAGCCCTAAAAATACAGCCAGGTGAAAACGAGACTAGCAGAATTGTTCTTGTCCTCTTTCGAAGTCTGCACTTTGTAGGAAAGCTGCTTTTACTAGAGTTTTTCTCTGTGATTCTTGTGACTCACTGTTTTGTGGTGACAGTCATCTTTGTCACAAACATAAAAGCCTGTTTCTGAAGTTACATTTTATAGCAAGATTTGAGTGGTGTTATATCCAGGATGCTCCCAGGTCTACATAAAAACCAAGGTTTTCTTGTGTGTCTTATTGGACCAACTTCCATATAACAACAGCGTAGAGAATATTGAAATTTGCCACCTCAAGACAGTTGTTCCAATAAAAGATAACCAACAAAAAAACACCCTGGTTTCTCTTCATAGCAAAACCAACACGTTGTCTTTGGTTACAACCGTTTTCCTGTTTGATCTGAGCGTCTTGTCTTATCACAGAGGGGCTTTGATCAAACCCTGGATTTTCACTGAAATCAAGGAACAAAGACACTGGGACATCTCTTCCAGTGAAAGGTTCGATATTCTCAAAAACTTCACCAATTATGGCCTCGAACACTGGGGCTCAGACACCCAGGGAGTGGAGAAAACCAGGAAGTTCATGCTGGAATGGCTGTCATTCTTGTGCAGGTAATTTACTTTCTGAGACCTTGGGTAGTAAAGAGCTTTTTCTTGCTTGGCCTTTGCATTGTCTGTGTTTTGAAGACTAATCAAATGTGGCGACATTCACTGCATCTGTTTGCATTGTAAGGTACATTCCAGCTGGCTTATTGGAATATCTACCTCAGAAAATCAACGAGCGACCGCCTTACTATATGGGGAGAGACTATCTGGAGACATTAATGGCAAGCCAAAATGTGGATGACTGGGTTAAAATAAGGTAAATGTCTGACATCACTTGCCACAAAGCATGCGTGTGGTCACAGCTGTTGCCTCCCTACAGCTTAATGTTCAAATCCTGGACTCTGCTAAATCTCAGTATCTGCTCGTGTGCGCCTTTAGAACTAGAACCATCTTATTTCAGTGTGGAGGGTTCGTAGAACGTCACATTTTATAGGGTTGATCCTGCTTTTCCAACTTGGTGGCAGAAACATCTGCTTTTCCAGCTTGTAAGCAATGAAGATTATGCAGTCCCTTGCTCCTTGGTTAAACCTGGTAGTGCCATATGATCCTCCCATTGTTGGTATCTGTCCACGGATGCCTTTGTAGATCACATCTGGGTATGTCTATTGAAACCTAAGAGGAACTGGTCTTTCTGATAACACTTGGTAACCAGTTATTGTTTGAGAGGTGGACAAGGGTGGGAAAATATAACGTGATGCCTTGAGGTCTGAGATTCCACAGTACTCGCGATACATTTGTACAGCAGCAGCCTCCAAAAGCTCCAGGCATGGACTGGGCTCCCACGGTGCCCGGCCCCGTGCAGACTGACCAAAAAAATGGGTCCTGTCCCAAAGAGCTTCCAATCCAATGGACTCGAGGGGCTGGTTGACTTTTCCTCCCTCAACACTACATATTTCCTGAGTTAATGCTATGGGATGCAGGAAACGTTTTTTAATGGCATCCAAAAAGTCGTCATTGTTCAGACAATTACTCTGCAGATATTTAGCCGGCCTCAGCTTAGGTGGAAATTCCAGCTACTATTTCCCATCTCATGGATATAGAGGAGGTTAGGAGAAATAAAGCATGACTGTAGCCTTCTCTGATTTTGCTAATCTGTGTCTGCTTTATTGGTAATGAAAACACCTGTCTTGCACCTAAATTTCAGCAACGTTTTCAAAATGGCATTATCCAAGCAGAGATTATTTGGCTTTAGGATTCAGAAACCTCGGTTCTATGCTTTTCACTGTAGATATAGAACTTTTTTAAGTTTTTTTTTTTTTTTCGCTTTAAAAGAATAAAATATTTAGAGAAGCACCGATCTTTTCCCAGAAGGGCAGTTGTAGAAGTGTGCGTTATTTGTTCTGTGCTCTGGTAGCTACATATTTGTGCAACACATGTAAAATTTCTGATGTGCTGTTGCTTGTTCTAGTGGGACTCCCTACTTATATGTCTTGGAATGGAAAAGAGTAATAAAATCACATTGAAAAGACAGTAGCATCCAGGAATTGTGCATAAAGAAGGCACAAAAATACAATAAGAGCAAATATTCTATCCAACCTTAAATATAATTTGAGTTCTGAGATATGAAATATATTAGGATTGATAGGCCAGATCCTTAGCTTATGGAAGCCTCCATTGCCCCACTGACTTCAGTAGAGCTGTATTATTTGACAGCAGTTAGGCATGTGGCCCTTGATAGCTGAGCACGAGCAGCCTGTGGCTCTGCATAAGCAGCAGGATAGGCAGGGGAGGATAATTTTTAAGAGCACAAATTGAATTTAGGCTCCTCATTCCTACTGCAGGTCTGTGGGAGTTGAATTACTAGACACCAAGTTAGAAAACTTTGACTGAAGTTCATACTCTGAAGAGGGCGCAGCTTGGAGTGGAGCGGGTGTTGGTGGGAGGTAGCGTGAGGATCAGGGTATGAATGAATACCAGTCTCTTGCTTTGTTGCAGTGAGATGCTCTTGGGACCTGTTCCTACAAACTTCACCTTCCTACCCAAGCACAAGGCGAATTCTTACAGATAGTACTGACCAGGAAATCCTTAAACCAGCAGATCAAGAGAAGACTATAAAGTGCTCTGGTGAGATGCAGATGACCCTGCCGTGTTTGGGAACCAAATAAAATGTTATGGGTCTTTTTATTTATTTATTTGCCGTTTTGATGTGTTGTCTGTATGTAGCCTTGCAATTGGGGACAGATGCCAGAATATTGGTAGCTCTGGTCCTTGAGCAGCCTATTACCAACATCTCAGTTCTAGCTTACCTAAGATACTTCTACATCCTCTATCACAATAATGTTCCCTATAGCAGCAGTTCTCAACCTTTTTTATATCAGGACCCAATTATAAGCATTGATGGCCACTCCAGTGCCCCTCACTCCTGACCCAATGCCCCCAGCCCCACAGTGTGTGGGGCAAGGGGTGCCCCAGGCAGCCCCTTGCAGGGTGGAATTCAGCCAGCCTGCAAGGGAAAAGCCACAGTTTCCCACATTTTTCTCCTTTAAAGGAGAATGCATTTTTAATGTTGGTTCATGACCCTTTCATACATTCTTGTGACCCACTTCTGTGTTGTGACCCATGGGTTGAGAAACTCTGCCCTATAGTCTTTAATGTATTGATCTCAAAATGCACCTATGAACTTGAGCAATACTATCCCCATTTCATGGGTGAGGATCTGAGGCACAGAGAAACTAAATGACTTGAACAAGGACACACTGGGGGGTGCATAGCTTAGGAGGGAATAGAACCTGTCTCACTTTAGTCTTAAACTAGTCCGTAAACTTTAAGCCAGTGATTCTCAAACAGAGATGATGCATAAGATCCTTTTTTAAGGGTGCCATGGGTTTCCATGCAATACTAGGCCTATACTTAATATATAAAGGATGTGCATCAGGAATTGGGAGAACATTTGTTCACCAGGGTGTCGTCCCACAGGAAGACAAAGTCTAACAGTCACAAACTGCTGGAAGACCGTTTTAGACTGGATGCAAGGAAACATTTCTTTACTGTCCTAGTCTCCAGAGTCTGGAATAGCCTCCCCCCAGAAGTGGTTCAAGCACCTACTCTGGATGCCTTTTAAGAAACGCTTGGATGCTTATCTTGCTGGGGTGATCCGACCCCAGCTCACTTCCTGCCTCTTGGGCAGGACTGGACCCGATGACCTTGTGAGGGCCCTTCCTGCCCTAATGTCTATGAGTCTCTCTGACTGCTCCTGTGGAAACATCTGCCCATGATTCAGATGATAAACCCAGAGATTACCAATAGGGATCCATAGTATCAACAGCGTTCTGGGCTTTGAGATCTTTGCAACAAAAGAATTGGTCTGTTATTTTTCCATAGTCAAGAAATAAGTAAGAGCTAGAGTTTTCCAAGGGTGTACTTGAGTCTAACTAGGGGTGCCTTGAATCATCTTTAAAAAAAAAAAAAAATTGAGAACCACTGTTGTAGACTGTTTTTTCCTTCCTGCATAGCTCTTTACACTGTCTTTGAAGGCTTCTCCTGACCTTTGCTGAATAATAAAGTACCTTTTGGTCAGGAGCTTTCCTCAGTTCACAACTTGAATTTTCTGGAGCATTTCCACGTGCATCTTGTGTTAGTGCTTACATAGCAAGGGCTGACCACTTGCCAAAGTCTTTGCCAATAGCACCAATGCATCCCTATTCCAAAAAGGCACCTTCTGCAATAGGACAAAGATGCAGCAATCCATGGGGCCAATTTTGCAAAGTGTAGAGCCCCTGAATCCAAATGAAGCTTGGCAATCTGCACATTCATAGAATTAGACCCAATGTTTAAGAGAGTAAGTGTATCTGAAAGCCTGTGCGGGGGCAGGGGAGAATTAGGTCTCTCTCAATTATTTTGCATTGAAATTAGGATCTTAAAGGAGTGATCAGGGCATTTAAAATTTTACTGCAAGAGAAAGTAGTTCCAAAAGGGCTGAAGTACTCCGAGATTGGCACGTGGAGTAACAAACCCTCTGTGACCTTCCCAAGCCTGTGCAGGGGCAGGGGAGAATTGGGTCTCTCAATTATTTTGCATTGAAATTAGGATCTTAAAGGAGTGATGAGGGCATTTAAAATTTTACTGCAAGAGAAAGTAGTTCCAAAAGGGCTGAAGTACTCCGAGATTGGCACGTGGAGTAACAAACCCTCTGTGACCTTCCCAGGCTAATCTTATCAGAGGTTTTCTTCCAGTTTGTCAGACTGTAATATCAGACTCGAGCAAATACACTGCACACATGACACCTGTCCAGGCACAGCACAACTATCACAAATGCCTCTGGCTGCAACAGGAAAGATGCTGCAGCTGAAATTTTAAACATCTATCAATGATGTCCGAACAGCAACCAGAAACTAGTTCATTTTCCCCCAGCTGCGTCATCAACCCTGTCTAGCACGAATAACAACGAGACAGTAAGAGAAACTCATTCTGGTTCATCAGTTTCCCACACAGAGAAGATCTGCTGTTTAAGGATGTGCTATTTTTACATCCTAACAGAAACTTTACTTTTAAAAAAGACCATTCTCCTCAGCCCAGAGCTAGGGATGAATAGAAATGGGCCTATTATAATGGCTGTCACATTCAGGATTTAATGACCTCCTCATGCCATGTTGAAGCAAAAGGCAGCTTCTTTCCCAATGCTTGCAAGTAATTTAGGTGCCCGAGTCCTGTTGGTCGTCAAGACTTGTGCATCTACGTGCTTCAGAAAATCCCACTCAAAGGATCAAACGCCACGCAGCAGTTGCACAACAGCAATCGCTCTCCACAGATCACTGCTTACCAGGCACAAGTCAGAATTCAACGTCTGCCTATCTTTTTACCATTGCCTTTCCCCCTTGGTGTGACCTGTATTGGCAAAGCCAGTGTGAAAATGCTCCAAGCATAAGCAAGTGCATGTCACTCACTTCACACAAGTGTAAATGAGCGCACACGAAAGAACTGGAAGCCAGAGTAGTTACCATACATGTCAGTATTAAATGGGGTTGGGTGTGTATTTGAAGGATGCTGAGCCTCTGCAGTTTCCAGTGGCTTATGCCTGAACTGGGGGGCTTAGCGCTTTGTGAAGTGAGGTCCTAGATTCACACACAGCAGCGGGCCAAATTAACAGATTGGTCTAAGAGAGGCCGCTGCCTATTTGCTTTTCAGCTCATTTCTCCCACCACTGCATGGTACCCCATGTCCTGGATTTCCCCACCACTGAATGCCTCGGCTGTCCTCTGTGGGCCAGATACAGTCCATCTGCAGGCCTGATCTGACCCATGGGCTGTAGATGGCCGACCCCTGTCGTACAGAGTTGTCTAAATAAATTGGTTTACTGTTCTCGGGCTGCCCATAATCTGGCAAGCGTCCATGTTACTTTTCAGGCAAGGAAATGAAAAGTAAATCATTGTCCGCGCCAATCGAATTGTAACTGCATTCCCCCTCTCACGAGCACGCTTTGCTTCCAACATTTCACAGCCACGTTGTAAATCTTGCAGGAGAGTGAATTAAGCAAGAAAAGGTGATGATGCACCATGAAAACTTAATGGAATCGGTCTCAGCTGCTGATCAAAGGTGTGAGACTTAATAGAGGAGTTCCCTTTCTCTTTCTTAAATGAGTGCCTTGTGTTCAATAGTAAAGTCAATTCCTTATTTGCCTCCAAGGCAACAATTTCAGTAAAAAAAATTGCTAAAACTGCAAATATGTGGGGCTGGTCAGCTACCACAGAACTGCTAAGCAGTGCAGGTGCTTATGTGAAGGAGGAGAGGCCATGAGAGCTTTACACACACTTTTAATTAAATTTGCAGGTAGATCAGGTATGTCATACCTCTCATCAGTGCACTTGTAGGGATGCATCTACACCTGTGATTAGATGTCTGTTTTACATGAGGAGCTCCTGCTTGGTGTTTAGCCACCTAAGGACATGGAAGGGTACAAAACTATACAAGCCGTTGCTGTTGTAAATCCCACTAAGTCTCTTTCTCCTTCCTTAGGTGCCTAAACACTTGTAAGGAAGGGGCAGGAGAAAGGTGGTGTCTGCTGTGATGACCAGACGTACTCACAGAAACAATCCAGCTCTCCACCCTGCGGCCACATGGGATTAGTCATGACCACATCACTTACACACTGTCCTCTCCAGGATGTCACTTATAGCTCAGGAAGAAAGACCCATGGAAAGGCATTTCCTTTCAGTTAAGAGTCAGCTGGAACCATTATGATGACCTTGGCCCATTTCCCCCTTCTACCATGGCAGGGGGACAGATCCAGCTCCCTTCTCCCATCCCAGCTCCTGAGCGGCTGCTGCTGCTGCTCTACAACAAGGCACCTCAGAATGGCGCGCTGTGTTTTACACCTACTTCATTGCAGTTTAAATGATTGCAATGAGCAGGGAATCAGGCCCAGAGCCTTACAGCATGTTAAGGCACTTGGTGAATGAGGCCTGGAGGCCTCTCCCATTCCTATTTCACAGCAGAGGGAAACAGGTGGGGGCTTGACAGAATTCAAGGGGTTCACAGCTCTTCCTATGCTGGAGTGCACCCAGAACAACCTGGGGAAAGCCCTCAAATCTGTTCCTTCCATTTTGAAAATGCAACCACCGACTTCCCTGCAAACTCAGCTCCGTAACCCCTTTCCTCCAAGCATACCCTCATCCGTTCCCAGCAGTTTGCTTTTGCATTGCATGTGCTTCCGTTTGACACAGGGCTCAGCTGTGCGTCCGTAAGACACTCAGCGGATGAGAAGAGATGAGCCACGTCAGCGCTACCTGCAGGGATGATGCTGAGGAGTAACTTTCCTGCTCTCTGGATGGCATCAGGCCTGCTCCTTCTTCCGTAGCTGTATATTGGCCCCATCTGAAGAGCAGCTGGAGCACTCAGCCATGCGGTGCTTTGAGATCTCTTTGAGGGTGAGCACAATGTTAGCACCCTTAGGGGTGCAGACATGACTCACAAGGAAACCCAGAGATTTCAAACAGGAATCCAGAGTGTTAAAAAACACTCGGACCTGCTGTGTCTATTATGGATCTGTTATTTTTATGTAGCCAAAAAAACATGTGAAAACTGCCAGCTGGCATTTTCCACGGAGTGCCCCAAGTCTAAATAGGTTGAGAGCCGCTGGACTAGAGGGATGCCCAGGTTTCCTGGAACATCGATACCAGTGTTGTGCAAC